AACTATCTTTAGCAGTTTAGTATCATCTGCAAACTTTACCACCTCACTGTTTAGCCCTTTCTCCAGATCATTTATGAATAAGTTGAATAGGATCGGTCCGAGGACTGACCCTTGGGGAACACCACTAGTTACCCCTCTCCATTCTGAGAATTTACCATTAATTCCTACCCTTTGTTCCCGGTCTTTTAACCAGTTCTCAATCCATGAAAGGACCTTCCCTTTTATCCCATGGCAGCTTAATTTACATAAGAGTCTTTGGTGAGGGACCTCGTCAAAGGCTTTCTGGAAATCTAAGTACACTATGTCCACCGGATCCCCCTTGTCCACATGTTTGTTGACCCCTTCAAAGAATTCTAATAGATTAGTAAGACACAATTTCCCTTTACAGAAACCATGTTGACTATTGCTCAACAGTTTATGTTTTTCTATGTGTCGGACAATTTTATTCTTAACTATTGTTTCGACTAATTTGCCTGGTACAGACGTTAGACTTACCGGTCTGTAATTGCCGGGATCACCTCTAGAGCCCTTTTTGAATATTGGCGTTACATTAGCTAACTTCCAGTCATTGGGTACAGAAGCTGATTTAAAGGACAGGTTACAAACCTTAGTTAACAGTTCCGCAACTTCACATTTGAGTTCTTTCAGAACTCTTGGGTGAATGTCATCAGGTCCTGGTGACTTGATAATGTTAAGTTTATCAATTAATTCCAAAACCTCCTCTCGTGACACTTCAATCCGTGACAGGGATTGTCTAGATAATACTTAGTCCTGCAATGAGTGCAGGGGACTGGACTAGATGACCTCTCGAGGGTCCTTCCAGTTCTATGAAATAGAACTGCAGAGGGAGTTGGTTGACTTGTCAGGCCTGGAAATTTAGGGGATGTAGCTTCAGTCCTGCACAGCAATTCCTCCTTTAAGCTCCAATCCACCAAAGCACATGTTTCACTTTAAGAATGTGAACAGCCTCATTCTTTATATTTTGTACAGTTAAAGTCTTAGGGGCAACTAGTATTTGTTCTGAAAGTCTTGAACATTTTTATAAAACATTCTTTGAGACTTAAAGGGAGCTAAAAAATGGGACTTCTCACATGCTTAACATTAAGCAAGTGCTGAAGTTCTTTGCTGGTTTGGGGCTATTAGTGTTGGGGCTATTAGTGTTGGGTCATTATCCCCATAAGTGTCCTCTGTGTTCAGTCAGGGACCAGATGGAAAATCATACCCAATTTAACCATTTTAATTTCTTTGGCTCCTACGTTTACAATGGTTAATGTCCAAATCTACCCATGTGTGAAATTTTGTGCTTGAGAAAAACTGGAGTCATTTAAGTCTTTAGTCAGAAACCGTGATTATTAAATTTGTTCAAGACTTTCGGAAGAGATAATAGTGTGCCTTTCAGACTTTAATTGTAAAAAAAACAAAAACAAACAAACAAACAAAAACACCCATGAAGACTTGTTGTTTTGACTTGTAAAGGGGTTTGCATCAAAAATAAGCCTTGTCAAGAGACACTAGTGCTACCTCAACTATGAAGGACTGCAGTTCTCAATCAGAAGAACCATGAGGTGATCACAAAAGAATTTGAACCTGAGAGCTCAATTTAGCTACCATTAAAGTCAATGAAAATACCCATATTGGCTTTGTTACATTGTTGATTGTTGCCTCATGTTGAAAAGGCCTAAAGATTTGACTGGCATTCTTTGAAAGTTATTTTCCTTTCTTAACATATTAAAAATTTCATAAAAAAATTAAATTACCCCAGTAAGTCAAATTAGTAGTTTGCCCAAAAAGATCAAGATAAACAAGCTAAGCTGAACTAAAAGTTTTACATCATGTAAGAAAAGCACAAGGGGCACGTAGGACTCAAGAGTGACAGTCTGTTCTACACACCTTTGAAGAAAAAAAATGAACAAATTTCAAATTACATTAAATACTCAATAGGTTAGAGCAGGAGTACAGTCATATCCACTGGAAGGCCAAATACACTATGCTGGGCACGGCACAGTGGCTCAACATACAGGCATTAAACGGAACAGAAACTAGTAACAGTTTTTTTACTCTTGAAGTGACTGCCATCAGAGTCAGCACCAGTTTAATCAATTAACCCTGCAGCCCTTCAAAAAACAAATAGGTATTTTTACCCCATTGGAACTGCACATACTATATATGTCACACAATTGCAATTTATGAGAAAAACATAGCCATTCAACAATCTTAAACATCAGAACAAGTTAAGGGAGCTATACAGGGTCAAATATACAGTGTGAACAGTGTAGTACAACAATGCATTCTCTAGTAATAGGGTAGATAGTCTTTCCAAACATGTTCTATTACAGAACAAAATACAGGTTTCAAATAGAAGACTTCATTAAAAAAAAAAAAAAAAAAAAAAAATCACAGCATCAATCCTGCAATTGACTACAATGAAATTGTAAAAGAGGACCACCAATCTCTCTGTAGCACAGTAAAACAAAATTTCTTTAAGATACTGTTTCAGTGGTACCTCACACCATTCAGATTAAAAATATATATAGATTACATATTATGTGGGACCAGATTTAGGCACACAATTTGCCGGGTTGAAATAGGCAGGTTTGAAGGATGGCTGTTGTGGAGTGGTAGTGCTGGGCTCTGGTGGGCCGCTGCAAGTGATCTTTTTGGACAGAGCTATGTCTTGGGGCTGAAGCATTAGCAGGCATAACTGGGAAAGATAAGCAGCAGCCCAAAACAGGTTTAAGGACCTGGCAAAGGGCCTCATCTCTCTTCCCATTAGGCTAGTCACCTTTGTACAGGTTCTACAGGTCACCGCTACTTAGGTGGGAACCAAGTGGCTGCAAGGAATGAATACAGCAGCCCTAGTTCAACCCCCCTCGGGCCCAGGGGAAAACAGCTCTTCAGATCTAACAGAGCTCCCTTCTAGTCTCATGAAGGAAAACAAAATCTGCAGTCACTGAAGACTCTGCAAGGTTCAGGCAGCTACTCATTCCGGATTCTTGCAGGATTCAGAGGCATCTGAATAAATTCTGAACATCAGTTCAGTTGAGTCTTATGGGCAACTGAGGATCCTCCTTAGTGGGATCATTTTTGAGGTTTTACTCAATTCTATCTGATTCAGCTTCAAACTTCTACCGAGAAAAGAAAAACTAGAGATACAAATCAGAGCTGTCAATTAATTCCAGTTAACTCACACAATTAACTCAAAAAAATTAATCTGATTAAAAACTTAATTGTGATTAATTGCAGTTTTAATCGCACTGTTAAACAATAGAATACCAATTGAAATTTATTAAATATTTTTGAATGTTTTCTACATTTTCAAATATATTGATTTCAATTACAACACAGAATACAAAGTGTACAGTGCTCACTTTATATTATTATTTTGATTACAAATATTTGCACTGTAAAAATGATAAAAGAAATAGTATATTTCAGTTCACTTCATACAAGTACTGTAGTGAAATTTCTATCATGAAAGTGCAATTTACAAATTTTGATTTTTTATTTATTTATTTATTTTTGTAAAGTAACTGCACTCAAAAGCAAAACAATGTAAAACTTTAGAGCAGTGGTGGGCGACCTGTGGCCTGTCAGGGTAATCCGCTTGCGGGCCTCCAGACCATTTGTTTACATTTGCACAGCCGCCCACAGCTCCCAGTGGCCACGGTTCGCTGTTCCCAGCCAATGTATTCTGTGTTGTAATTGAAATCAATATATTTGAAAATGTAGAAAACATCCAAAAATATTTAAATAAATGGTATTCTATTATTGTTTAACAGCATGGTTAATCGTGCGATTAATCATGCGATTAATCCCAATTATTTTTTTTAATTGCGCGACTAATCACGATAAATTTTTTTAATCACTTGAGAGCCCTAATACAGATGAATAATGGTGAATGGTCCCAAATCATCACAGACAAAGATCATGTTGTTTGGTTTTTAAAGCATCTGAGCAACCTGCTCTTGTTAATCTGAGGAACGTAAGGGCCCCAACCCTGCAAATTACAACATGCAGCCAGACCTCTGTACCTTCACAGACAGGCCCGCTGATATCCAATGGGGTTCTCACAGGTAGAGCACTCTGCTTCCCCAAATTGTTATTTACAGGATTGTACCCAAGTAATAAACTGAAAAACAGAGTCACACTGTGGTCAAAGTAGACTTTATCTTAGCTCCATTTATATCACATTACAAACATAAACCTGCTGCTGAATTGTTTGGAGTGGGTTCCGAATGCAATTTCACCACTGCATACATTCTAGTTGCCTGCCTTACCTAGACCTTTCTGCAAAGATAATTTCAACGGTTGTAACCGGATTCTAAAGCATGGACATCCCCTTTAAGTAAGAAGGGTCCATCCATGCAAGTTGACTTATTTTACACTAATTTTGACACTAACCAATCTGATTTTTTCCAGTATTTTCACAGTATTCCAGATATATTTGAACAAAACGTTACAAAAAAAAAAAATCGCATGTCTTTTCCAGAATCTCAAAAATACTGAACACCATTTTCAACTATTATATACTCTGTAATAACTTTACCATTCAATTATGCTGCTCTCTTCTGTGCTGTTTTTTCTTAAAAAGTCCAATTGCAAGTGGCACAGAAACTGCCTGTCAACCATAGCTCTCTGTTAGCCTAATTTAAATTAATTTATTTTCCTCCATGTAGTTATGTTATCTTTTCTACTCTTACTCCAATATTAGCACAATTATTCTAAAAATTGTAGGCTTGTCAGACATTTTTCAATAAATAGCCAACTTATTTTGTCCCCCTACTTTCAATAAGAACAAGCCTGAATCTGTATGAATCCCAACATATTATAAAAATCTCATTATGAGTATATTCCCTTCTAAGTACCAAGTAAAAATACTTCCTTAATTAAATAAATAGCTATGATCATGATAAAAATTATAGATAGACTATCGTGGTTAATATAATTACAATGTAATAACAATCAAAAAGATTAAGTGAGGAAATGTTCACTACCCTTACCACTTCTCAAGACAATTTGTTGGTCTGTGCAGTGGAATGCCAGGTATGGATATACAGTAAGAAGGCAGTTCTCTGCTGTGGCAGCAACCTGAAGCGAGAACCTGGGGAGGTCAGAGGGGAGGAAGGGGAGGAGAGAAGTATTTTTTTTTAAATATATGAAAAATTATCTTTCAATATTTTCTATTAATATGGCTGTTCTTTTGTTAAGTTTCTCAAATATTTCACAGTCAAGCTTTTTTTATGGTCATCTGATTTTTTAATATTGCCTTAGATTTAGCCATTGTATGGTGAACAATAAAATAAACCTTAATATCTGTGTAACAGTAACCAACACTAAAAATAAGATATGCAAACGACTTCTGCTCTCTTGTACAGTGGTGCAGTCAGTAGGGTTGCACTGCTGTGAGAGCACAATTTGGAAAGTTTGTGTATATCAATAATCCACAAATAGAGAAGACTGATACAATAATGGGTCTCTCCTATCTGGCACATTCTACTCTGAACATGAATGTGTCATTAATTTGAAAGTTTAAGGAGTAGAAAGGATTTTTTGAAATAAATGAACTGTGTCCATCTGAAAACAAAAAATTAAAATTAGAATTGATGTTTATGAGCATACTAAAGGAGGTTGCTATCTTGCAAAATAGATTATGCAATTTTTGACACTGGAGAGAGTTTATCACACCCCAAAGAACTCAGTAAAAACAAAACAAAACAAACAAACAAAAGAAAAAATGGGAAAGCTGTCATCTACTCTTGACTCTCTTTAATCCATGAAGTCAGAGGGCCAGAGAAAGTTGCATATGAAGGCCTATAGTTTCACTTCCCTTTTCCTGCACTATTACATGCACTTTTTCTACTTTAAGTAAAATTGATAATAATTTCATCCCATAACACTTTTACAGTATGTTAACACACAGGAAACATATATTACACAAACAGATCTTATACTGCCAAAAAGTAAAAATCTCTAAAAAGTGATCAAGTTATGGGTCTGAAGCTATAAACACTTTGTACCACTGATCACGTAAATTTATGACTTTTTTCCATGAAGGAACGTTATAAATAGTAGGTGAACACAATTAATTTATTGTGTTTGCAATGGAGCATAATCAAATCATATTCAAAAGTCTAGGTGTTTTATTTGAAGATAAGGTAATCCTCCTCCTAGCAAGAGTGGAATTACTATATATGGTAGATCACTCACTCAGTGGAATCAGTTTTTAAATGCTTAATAACAAATATATTTTGATTTTGTTTTATCTGAATGAACCATTAGTGGTCCACTCATTTTCATTAAACCAGTCCTGAGATTTTGTAATACTTTATTTAGGGAAACAGAACACCAACTGAAAAAATATCTCTGCTTTTTTATTTTGTCCTAAAAAGACTTTCAGGCAATTTGTTTCAGTTAATACAAACACATGAGTGACATATTTTGCATTAAAGTAGCTGAATTGTGACCGACAGGGACATTGGAGATGTCATAGTAGATCATGAATCAAGCATCCTGTCTCCAACAGCATTCAGTGCCAGATGCAGACTGTCTGTCAGCCATGAAAGATTTCTGAAAGGACAGATAGCCCAAAGACATCAGGATCTTTTTGACAGAAAACTTTTTATCATCATGGTCTGGGGTGGATTTTACAGAATACAGGAAGAAATGGCATCACCTGTTTAGGGCAATGAGAACAAGACTGCTCCAAAATTAATAAGGCCAGGAACATAAAGGTTCAGATGCATTAAAAGATCCTGAAGAGCCAAAAGGGATCCTAGAGTGCAGCAAACAGAACAACTCTGATTAGATCCAGAGCTTGTGTAATTGGCGTGGAGGGGGGGGAAATAAGATGTTCCACGTAAGCTCTGTGGGATAACAACTGTCCTTTCAATTCATTTGCACACGATGCCAAGTACAGTGGGGCCCTTATTGGACTTGGGCATTTTGCTACTACTGCAACACAATAATAATGTCCATTGACAGACGTTTTCACATGATGTGCAAGATTTAATGCTTGTGCTGTAAGTGCACTTAAAATCAATGGACACTGCTGACCAGGGGTATCTACACAGCCCACGGCGGCAAGTTACAGAGCCCAGGTCAAACATCTCAGGCTCCCACTGCGGTGCTAAGAACTGTCGTGTAGATGTTGTGGCTCTGGCTGAAGCTCAGGCTCTGATGCCCACCCCCTTCCCTAGGCTGTAGAGCTCTAGTCTGTGGATCCAGGCTTTGAGACTCGTTGATGCTGGCTGTGGAGATGTAGCCTAGGAGGTTCCAGGGCTCATGCATACTTCCCAAGAGTGAGGCTCCATGCAGGCAAAATGTCAAAGAGGATTGGTCCATAACCCCCAGAGACTCCACAGGCCCTGCTGTAGAAACAGGTAGGATGTGACAGATGGAAGGAGAAAGAATTGAAAGTTGAGGACATGGAGGCAGGGACCTCACTACTGTGATCTTCCTTCTCATTAAAGTTATTCAGCTACCCATCATGCAGACTTTTGTTAGATACTTTTTCTATTCAGAGCAAACCAACTGCTCATTCACCTGATCTAGCATGTAAGATATTGTGCAGTACACACAGCTGGAAAGCCATAGATAATGTGGGATAAGCAGCATTCTGTTAAGGAAACAGAGTAGAAAATATGTACCCTTAGATACTAAAACAAGAACTACACCAAGCCTAACACTATGGATTTGGTACAAGAAAGGACTACAGAGGTTGGCCTAAGTAATCTGCTCCCCAGAGACCAGCAGTGGAGTCAATCTGCAACCACTACTGCAACACAGGGTCTACTCTACAGTAAACCCTCGCAGCTCTTATGTTCCAACTCTGTAAGAGTAAGGCAGGTGGATCTGTCAGGTGCCTCCACCCAGAGCAGTGAATGAACACCAACAGAGCACAGCAGCATTGCACCTATAGATGTCAGGCTACCGCTGGGCAAATAACTGATATTTTCTGTTTGGTGGCCAAACTGAAAAAGTCTGGGAAAAAGAATTATTTTGGTTCGACCCGAAATGAAAATTTGTTGGTACCTCACCAAACAGAATAACTGGAAAAAAGTCATTTAAGCTCAAATGAAATGTTTTGTTTGACCCAAAACAAAATGTTGCATTTCACTTTGGGGTGTTTGGGGGCCTCCTCCTCTTTTATGAGGGGTGTAGTTAAATCTACCTAAATTTCTAAATGAAATGCTTTAAAATGAAAAGTCAAAGTGTCATCTCAAAAATGTGAAAACAAAATAAACTTTTTCTGAATTTCACACACACACCATTTTTATTCAATCAAAATTATATGCCAAATTTGACCGAATTCACAAACAGCTTTAGCTAACCCAGAACTGCATTTTTTGATGAATAAACTATTGCCTGAAGAAATTTTGCCCAGCTCTACTTCAGACCCTTTGTCTGAGATCCTGGCATTTATTTCTCTCCTCCCACCATAAATAACAGAACTGCATTGGGTTCTATCTTCTGTCACTTTCATGGTGCGGGAGGCCAAATTTGCTGTTACATAAGTCCTACTAAAGCATTTGTGTAGTCAAATAAATAAAATAAAATAAAAGTGTAATGTGTATTAAAATTGGAGACCATCAAACATGCAACATTCTCATTGATATTTTTTTCCAAGTATTGTAGTGATTTTTCCCACAGTGAAGGATCTAGATTTTGCAGCTAAGTGTGACACCCCTTCTATTTTCTGAACACTTGGGCAAGAGAGTCTCAGCTTTTCTACCTGCTTTTACTTGCATCAGCCCTGCGGAATAAGAAGTCTGTCAATCTGGTTGAGGGCAGTTAAATAAGCAAAAACTGAGATCATCAGTTTAAAAAACAAAAACAAAAACAAACAAACAAAAACTACAAATTACCTGGAAAGATGGGTTGTAAATTAAGGTCATCTTAGATAAATATTAGTATAACTTCTCATGACTCATTTAATTTAATCTACACAAATAGTAAGTTGCCTTCTTAAAATACAACCATAGTCCTTCACTTTAGAATTCAGGTTTATAGTCACGTATAGCCTGATTTTACTACAAAACCTGCTTGCCCATTGTGTTTCCAAATCACCTCTGTGAAGCAGCTAGGTCCAAGAATGCCCAGCCACCATGACCTACTCTTATTTATGGCACAAAGATTTATTATTTATTAAATTAGATTTCAATCTTATACAAACTCAATACCAAAGGACACCGATCCAAACTTTGACAATGAGCGTCCTTGACATGCACTTAGAAACCCAACATAGGATACGCAAATAAAAATTAACCAAAGCAGCAGCACTTCGTCTCACCTTTCCGCACACCATTTCATCCACAGTCATGTAACCCTTATAGCCTAAACTTCCCATTGTACTTTCCCCACTAGACAAAAATCCCATCCTCAACTGCCTTAGCCTTTCGCCAATGCTCACCCAAATAGACAGGCTTTGCCATGTACCCACAAAATACCAATTAACCTAACACAGACAAACCATCAAAACAGGACCCTTGCCCCAACAGTGAAATGCAGGAGAAGAATTGAATTTCCAGCTGCTTATCTTCTAATCACATTCCAAACACTAGATCAAGAGCTGGAGTTCAAGATCTTCGTGATTCAAACCATTACAACACACACTGTCTCTTTGGAGGTGGAAAAACAGAGAGGCTTTTTAATTCTGGTGGTACAATGCAAACAAATTAACATCTTTACAACACCAATAGTTACAAATATTCACAATACACAATATTCCTTATGTGGTGTATAAGAGGTTACATACCAAATAATTATTCTCCAAATGTATTGCCTCCATTGACCCAAACTGTGAGAATGCATCTCTTGTCAGGCAGCAATGGAACCCATTTCACAGCAGCGAGCTGCTGGGGAAGCACGTCCCTTTGTTTCAGCATTCTAGAACTAAAGACTCAAGAGACACCCCAACACCTCACTTGTACCTCAGTTCCTTGCTAAGATCCCATTCCAGCAAAGCAATTTAAGTTCACAAGTTGTCCCACCACTTCAGTGGAGCTGTTCACATGCTTCAATACTTTGCTGGATCAAGGTTGAACCTCTGGGCACATCCTGTAAATCTCCCAAGCAGAGGTTGGGTCAGGGTGAATATGCAGAAGAGATAAATAACCTCTTTCTGTTTGAATGTAACAAAACTCATGACTCTAAAGGTTTTTTCCATTGTATTGTATGAATTATGCATTAAAAAGATGATATATTAGGTTAATAAGGGGCTTTCATTCTGGAAGACTGCAAAGCACTTTACAAAGCTGAATTGACAGGAACACCATATTTCATGCTGATACTTCCTCCTATTCGACTGCAGTACCATTTAAAGCACAACACCAAAACAAACAAAAAAACAAAAAAAATCTGACGGAGATTTTTTTTAAACAAAACAATTTGGACCAAAAATAGTAGGATTTGTTTACTTAACAGAACACTTCTCAAAAGTGAATATGAGGGAGTGGGAACAGAGAAAAACTGAGCAAAGTACAAGATTCTGAAATGATTTAAACCTTAAGGGCAAAGCTGAATAGCATGTTTTGGAACTTGAATCCAGCTCAAAACAGAATGTATTTCTTCGGTTTACTTTCAAATATATTAGTTTATATTAGGGACTCATTGTAATTTTTTTTTGAGCTAGTTTATGTCATAAAGTTTGTGTCTTACACACTTCTCCACAACATGGAAAGTACCCTTCCTTCCCCCAAATGAACTTAATTTAAATGCATTACCTGTTTTTTTCATCATCGATGAAGAATATGTTCCTTAAAAATGACACTGGCCTAGATGACCTGAAGCTGATATGACAAGTGAGTCCTACATTTGTCCCCTCTGGTGAGACTGCAATAACTTGGCCACTTGGAAACTGCACAGAAAGGGGATTAATCTTGTCACCATCTTCAAGTTCAAGCTCTGGAATTTCAACTTGTAGTGCTGACGGCCTGTGTTAAAAATCAATAATAATGATGTTTGTTCCCAAAGGGCAACAGTAACAAAGTTAAGTCACACATCTATCAAACTGCTTTTTGCAGCTCGATATATGAACCATGATCATAACACAAATTTGTTTTTTAAATTATTAGTCAACTGAAACTAACTGGAAAATTATAAGTCCTTTAACATTTAACGTGCCATTTTGTCTTTTACAAATGTACTGCAATTAGTTTTCTGTAGTGACCCACTGCAACTCAGCATTCTATGGAAGAATTTTTACAGACCATTGTTATAACTAAGGCCTAAGTATTACTTCTATTTGTTTCCTTAAAAATCACCTATTGCTAAAGCTTTCCTCTATATTGATTTAATTGTATTAACGCTTACCAAATTGTTCTACTGTTCAAAACAGCTTTTACTATATATCTATTTGCACAAAATGGAACCTCCTGGACAGAGACATTTTGAAATACTTCCCCTGGTCACACGAATTTAGGCCCCAATCTTCCAATCAAATCTATGTGAGTGGATCCCCAGACCCATATGGAGTCCGGCTTGATCCACTTGTGGTATTATTGACAAAAGTCATCCAATAAATTACTATTTCTCAACAGAAATCCTAGCAAATTCACCCCATCTACAAATGACCATCATCTGTAGAAAAGTGGATGTCAGATGTTCATTCAGATCTCTGACACTGCAATACAAACGTGCCACTAACTGTACTGGAAAATGAAATTTACTATTTAACCACAGAAAAAATGTATCACAGGTAGAGGAAGTACAAGCTTCCTAAGACTTGTCATATCAGTGTGCCTCAACTCTTGCCTGGAGAGACTAGTACTAGGGAAGGGAGCAATTCAAGTTCTGCCTAACATGCTAACAATGTCACCAACTGTGGTATTAGTTTTGATATGTTAGCACCTATCCACTGGAAACTATGGTGAGATCATACCATCATTTAACACAGGTAACAAAAACCTATCGGATGGTAACTTTAACCACTATTGCTTTGAGCTGTATTTGAACTAGTGCCCTAAAATTTAAAAGCTCTGGATACCATTACCAAGCCCTAGTATTCAAAAATATTAAGCTGTACAATGCTATATGGTACAAAACCCATGATAAAGGACTCAGGGAGACATCTGTTAACCAAATATTGCACCAGCTCTGGACTAATACATTTTGCTATACAGTATGGAGATTAAAGGAAAGATTTTGTTTGTTTTCAAATCTTCAGTTTAACGGTGTTATATTTGGAGATCTAAAAAAAATGAATAAAAAGGCGCAATCATTAATAAATCTAATTTATAGACACTTTTAGATTAATGTGTTTGTTTTGCTGAAATATAATACAGCCTTGCATAGATAATGAAATCATAGTACATCCAGTGTAACTCAACGATGTGTATAACAAAATCATATTAACCCAAAATAACTGTTTGAGGATTTCTAATCCATTTGCCAGAGAAAAATAACAGCTACAATGTTTTCATCTAATTAGGACACCAAAAAAACCCAACCAGTTTCTGATGTGAATCTCAGACTGAAGTCACTGAGAAGCTCTCACAGCTGCTGCTTTTTTCAATAGTTCTGCTTTGCTTTCCAAAAAAGTACAAAAAGTGTGACAATCTGTCCTGTACTGATGGACGGACACATTTCTGGAGCACAGAGCTAGTAGAGAAATGATACATCATGAGGATAAAATGCTGTTAACTATCACTATTTCCTGCTAAGTATTGCATTTTCCTCCATTGAGCAGACAGGGATATGAACACCAACCCACACAGCAATTATCAAGTACCTCCTGCAGCGGAAAACAGAGGAAGCATGATAATTATGGTGTTTATGGCAAACTAATCTGGAATTGAAGTGAAGATTTACCTTGAGTAGTCTTTTGGAATAATATTGACATACATCTCAGTTTTCATATCCAGAGGAACAGGCATCAATATCAAAAACGGGGGATCGAAGTTTATCTTAGGTGACTTGACAGTACTAGACAGAGTTAATAGTTTGCAATGAGATGGGTTATCATTCAGAAACACTGGCACTTCAGCTTCATACGTCCCAGGATAAGCTAATGAAAAATGGATCAAACAAATATTCAAACATAATTAAAATAAATCATTTGAAGTCACAAACCTGATAAGAACTTTCTAATCAAGCATATTGCTTTTGTTTTCAAAATACAGTCCAACATGAAAACAAGCTGCTGTACTACATATAGTGTCTACTAAGATAAGTTAGGAAGAAAAAAAATTGTTACAAGTGACTTGTCCTGGAAACTTGGAACCCATTTTTATATTGTTTATTAGCAGGAAACTTTTTGAAATACCGGCATTTCTTCAAAATTATTGAAAAATAAAATATTTCTTGCAGTTGATGAGACGTATATCCATTCTTAAGCACCATGAAATGTGAAACCACCCATCTCTACCTGTACTGTCATGTAGTCAAAGTCCTATGGGCCCTCTAAATCAACATAATAATGGACTCCAATATCTTAAAATATAAATTCAACATACCAGATTCCAAAGCCCTGTACTGTTTCCAACATAAAAATGCCTCTCACATCTCATCTGCAAATACACAAAAAACTTCTAGGGTGAAATTACGATTCCACAGAAATAAATGCCAAAACTTACATTAACTTCAACGGGGCCAGGATTTCATCCTATATATCTATTACATCCAAAATAATTAAATTTTAAAAAAAAAACCATTAAGTTCGGAAAGTCAAACACTCATTTAGGAAATATCAGATTTATGGTTGCCTTAACTTGGTCTCATTACCTGATCAGATACTAATTTTTCACATGACCCATACCTCAATCAGTGCACAGGTTGGAGAGTGCTCACTGAATAAGCACTATTCAGTGTTTCTCTTCATCTTAATTACTCAATGTGTGTCCCCATGCATTATTTACTGCACGTCATCCAAACCTTGTACTCAACACAGTTATTAATTTCCTCATAGCCTTTTCTATGATGCTCTCATCATAGTATCTTAGTTCTTTAATAAATTTATTTTACAACACCCCAGAGAGGTAAGGAAAATGAAGACCAAAACTGTCAAGTCTCCATTAATTTTGGGTGACAATTTGAGATGCTTAGGGTTTAATTTTTCAAAGTACTCAGCATTATATAGCACTTTACATGTTCCAAGCACAGCTTCCATTGCCTTCAGCTACAGCTGTGAATGCTCAGTATTAGAGCTGAGTGAAATTTTTTTGGCAAATACTAAATTTACCAAAATATGCATTTTTCAGGGCACCAAAACTATTTGCAAATTCAAATCTAATTTGGCAATTAGTTTTGACCAAACAAAATAAAAACAAGATTTTTGAAAATGTGGATTTGATCAACATTGAAAATAATTTGACCTGATCAAAATTTTTCCATTTTGTTTGTTTGATCAAGAAAAACGTGGGGGGTGGAGTAATTTGGGAGGGGGAAGAGGATTTTTCCATCTGGCTTCCAAACCAGTAAATCAATTATTTGATCAATTCTACTCCGCACTTCTGTAAATATGACCCCAAGTGTCTCCAGTTGGGTACCCAGAAAATGAGGAACACATAATAGCCAGCTGTGAAAATTGTGGCTTGTGTGACATGCCCAACAACATATAGCAACTCTGTGGCAGAGGCAGTGATAGAAGACAGTTCTCTAGGGCAGCATTCAACTGCCTTTTCACTTCACAGCCCTGATTCATTCCAAGAATGGTTCCATCCTGTGTACTAAATGAGGCAGGAGTCCTGGGGGGAAAAATAGTTTGCCAAGTGCACTTGATTTCCATTCTGTTAAAAGGTATCTTAATTACGTGATCACATACTAACAATAACTTGAACTTTCCTGGCAAACTTTTTTCTCTCTTTTCTACTGCTCCACTTGTCCAGCAGTCACCTCAACCATTCAGACGAATGTTTTAGAGTTTGCAGGGATTTTGTATTCTCACAATTTTTCCTCCTTTAAATATGACATTGCTTTCTCAAAATCTGAGAAAACTGGCCACGCCCACTCACCCTCCTCTGGGCACAATAATCTCATCCAGATTCTGCTTCTTTCTTAAAAGCATAACTGACCAGGATTCCAAAAAAATGCTACTACTGCACAACAGCACTAACCACACAAACTGAACAACAAGAGGGATAAGATAATCACATTAAACCAGAATGCCAGTCTGATTCTAGACAATTATTCAAATCAGTTAGCCAGAGAAAACTACATATCTAGCATACTATGGGAAATACTTGTTATGTTAACTATACCTCTAGTGACCACAGCCAAAGCTTGTGCTACACTACTACCTAATACTCCATCATTTGCTATATGGTAGTCAAGTTGCCAGGTGATGTGGGAGTGTTCCTTGGGGAGTGTTTCATGGTGTTTACAAATTTGTCCACTTAATTTTGCCCACAGCTGTTGAAATCCATGGAATTAAGTAATTCCTCCTCTTGTTAATACTGGACATACTGGGGTGGCGGGGGAATAATTATCCTAATTTATAAGAAAAGACCCTAAAGGCAGCACCACAGAAACACTTACTGAAATTTTTAAAGAGAGTTTTCTTTCTGATCCTGCAGAACCAAAAACAGGAAACAAACTATCAAACTCCAATTGCATACTACCACTGCAAACAAAACAATAAATCGTTTTGTTAAGATGTAGCCACACATTTATTTCAATCATCAGTTTCAGGAAAAGCCAATTTATAAAGCTCCCTCCTTAAGCAGGTCTGAGTTTCTGATAGTTCTCCATTTGGGCATCATGGGGTCAAAGTTAAGGTTGTTTGGGAGAACTTAGCTGTGTACTGGCATGGATCTCCTTACTTTCCTGAAGAGGGATGTTTACCTAAACAAGAGCCTTATTCCTTAAATAGTTCCGTTGATTTTTATACGTCTACTTAACACAAGGATGGGGAAAAAGTGGCTGCAAGTGGTTTTCCCTCATCTACATTTCTGAGGTCAAACCGTTGTGGTTTCTTGCCAGCCATTCTATCCCAGCCATCACTTGTCGGGTCATGCATACTTTGCAAAGCACGCAAACTAGTGTTTTTACATAAAGCACACAAACAGATGTATTATGAACCCAAGGTGGATATTATATACACTTAACAAAACATAAATAGGTGTTATTTTTAAATATATATCTGTGTTTACACATACACCTGGGTGTTTTGAATTCTTAGGCTTACCCGTTGAATTATCTTCTCCAATCCTACTCACAAATCCCTTAAAACCTAAAGCAAGGCACTTTTAAATGAACATTTCATGAGAGATTAAAAAAAAAAAAAAAAGCACTAGAACATTCTTTTAAAAGTGAACAACAAATCTGGACAATTCATTTCAAGGAAGCACTTTGTCTTAATTACCCCAAACTTCCCATAAACTAAAAAATGACATGTATGTGAAGTTTCAGTTGCATTGATTCTGATGTAGTTTAAATTCAAAGATAAATTCAGTTTCAAATTCACTCTAACAAGAAGTCAGCTGTAACTATAACGAGGCACAATCAGTGCCCATTGATAGTATTTATAACACTACCTTAACTGCAGTAGAACATCATAGGCTGGGATTTTCAAAGGCGCCCAAAGGACTTGGGATCACAAATCCCATTGAAATTAACTCCCTTGTGCCCTTTTGAAAATGCCAGCCAAAGTCTAATGGCTTTAAATAAAACATCTGTCTTCAAATAACCAGCTTTAACTGCACTGTAAGTGTCTTTTTAACTGACTGGCTGAAAAGTGTCCTTTGGGTTTGAAAAAGACATAACTTCAACAGAAACAAAAATTTTCATAAAACTATTAGGAACAAAAAAAAAAAAGAAGACTTCAACTTCTCAAAGTAATAACTCCAATGAGAAAAAATGGAGTCCCCAGAAGCACAAAGTTAAACACAGCTCCACTTGTTTTTGCTGAAGTCACATCAACCTCAAGCCCAGCAGGCAGCTTTCTAGTTACAAAGGCTCTGCTGGTACAGTCAGAAGCACTTCAGTGTAAGCTGCTGCTTTCCTCAAAGCAGCTACAGACTTGAGGATGAAAGTCTGTAGAGTTTCAGTACCAAAATAAAAAGTGAAGTTATGATTTAAACAGAGTGCAAACGATAACACTGTTAAGCAAGCTGTCACAGTCCGGGCACTCCCACACCAACAGCAGCAGCAGGTCCCAGTACAGAACATCCCTTCCTGGCTATAAACAGGTTCAAATACAAAGTCTTTGCTTTGCAGGGTCCCCATCAAAAGCCTTTCCATTTCTTGGGAGGTTTCAGCAGAACACCACAATTTTTTATCAGCTTGTGTACATGCTTTCCCCCCTACTAGTTACTCCTTTCTGCTTTTTCCTTTTATATCTGCTAACTGAGCCATGATTTTTTTCCCCATGAGATCCAGCTGTGTCCACTCCTGCAGATACTTAACCTCTAGCTGTCTGGTTCTTAAACACTGCAAATCCAACAGGTGAAGTAGGAATTTTGACCTTGGCTCTAGCTGGATTTCCCCAGTCTAACTACCCAGAGCTTCTAAACACCCAGATGGGTGGTTAAGTATTATACCACCACCAAAGAAAAAAATAAAGTTCTATTAATGTTGCAAGGTGAAAATATGCAGAAATACCTGCATTTGATGTGTTTGGGGGCCTCACAAAGCACCTCAAGTGTGTGCATACAACAGTGTAACTGTACAGGGCCATCTTACTGTAGACCCATAAAATCTGAAAGACTCGACTTGGGGGAGGGGATACTCAAAAACCCGTATCATGTTACAATGTTGGGACAGAATGTTTCAATACCTGCATCTTCAATACCATGTCATTGCATCAATTTATGGTACTTTAACATCACTTAAAAATGCAAAAACTTCACATGTATCATCGTGGCACATGATCAAACAGTCAAAAGAAAATTTCAGGTTGTCTGGCAAACCTACTTAAATTATTATTCCTCTCTATCTTCTATTTTTAGCCCCCATAGAGTGGTGGGAAGAAAGCAAGACCACTTTAAACCATGCACTATCAATGCAAAATAAGCCATATTAAAAGTATTTTACTCCCAATCCCCCCTCTTCTTACACAATCAAATCATG